CAAGCGTCACGAAGCTCACCCCTCTTCACAGATGGGAAACTGAGGCCCAGAAAGGGGACAGGAAGAGGTGACTGGCACCAGGGCTTACAGGGAGGCTGAATGCCAACAGCCAGCAGCTCTGCCCAGGCCTCTGGAGGGAGAGAACCCTCCATGCTTAGTAAGAATCAGAATAGAGAGCAACAACTACAATGACTATAATTAACATTTATTGAGCACTTACTGCATAATACAATAAGGCGTGGATTTAAGTGTTTCACGTGCACTAACTCACTGAATCCGTGCACCACCTAACCTCCCTGCCAGGAAAGGAAAGGCAAATACCATTTGCTTCCATCTTTTACAACAGCCACCAGGGAGGAAGTACTGACGCCGGCGGACAGACCCGAACCGGGCTGGGGCAACAGCCGACACGGGGGAGCCTGAATGAGGAGTCTGTCCCCTGGCTGGGGATTCTTCCAAATTTTCCAGTTTATTAACAGTCCTTCTCTCTCGTGGGAGCGAGGCCAGCAGTCCGCATACACGTGTGTTTCCTAATGACGTCGAAGGCCCTGGCCTTGGGTTCCCTCACCATGCAGAAGCTGGTTGTGTTTGCTCTGGTCCTGCAGGGAGTCAGGGGACACGAGAGCCCGCTCCATGCCGAGGCCCCGCTCCACGCCCGGGGCCTGTGTGCTGCCCTCGGAATGCGCAAGTGCTCGGGACCAAAGGGCACGGACTCAGAATCTGGCTGGAGCGTCTGGGGGAGCAGCTCCCGGAGACCGGGGAGCCCAGGGGGTCGTCCTCAAAGCAGCCCGAGGCTGGGACATTTGGGAACGTTCTGGAAATGCTGACACCAGCGATACCAGGCGCACCTGTTCCATGGCCTGGGAAAGATGCAAAAGGCTCCGTTGTGACCGTAACAGAGTTTGTTAGAGGCTATTCGACCCCAGAGGAGGCACGGCCTGGCTAATGAACACAGACCCCAACGCCAGGCGGCCTGAGTTCAAATCCCAGCCCTACGGCTTACTGGCCAGTGACCCTGGGCAAGTCACATAACCGTCCCCCAACCATTCCTCAAATGGGGACAGAAGCCCTTACTCATGAATCGCTTTGAAGACTAAGTACTTCGTGCAGAGCCAAATGGCAACCACTGCCATTATTATTATTACAGTGACCTTTGAACAAAGAGGAAAAAACAAATGCGGTCATAGTTTCCCCATCCAAACAAGGAGGGACTCTTCCACGCTTCCACGTCTGGGCCTCCAGTTCAGACCAGACCGTCACCGCGTCAGGAGAGCCGTGAACCAAGCTGAGAAAAGGGAAGAACGGCCCTCTGCATCAAGAAGCAGGGAAGCCACGGCTACGTTCAAATAAAGCACAAAAGGACGTTAAAGTCAGAGCAGCCGGGACCACGCCGTAGGCCCTGGAGGACGGAGGTCACACAGAAAACCACGCAGCTCCAGAAACCACCGGAAAAGAAAAGCGTGCAGAGCCACTTTAACCCGGCAGCCGTTTCTCCAAGCAGAAGACGTAGTGATGACGCTGGCGTCGACAGCTACCGTTGGTTGTGCATCTAACAGGTGTGCGTCACCTGGCCAAGCTGCATGGCCCCTCCGGGGAGGTGTTTCTCAGCCCCATTTCATGGATGAGAAAGTCGAGCCTCAGAGAGGGGAGGCAGCCACACCGAAGCCACACAGCTGGGAAGAGTGACACATAGGCTCCCTCACTTCCAGCCCCGGGCGGCACAAAGCGGCTGCTCAGTCGCTGGGGAGTGAACGAAGGACCGTAGGAAAGCCGACGGTGGGTGGCATACGCCTCCCCTGAGAACAGAGCACCCCCAGCGCAGGAGGGCATCAGAACACACAGGCCCAGGGCTTAAAGGGGCACCTGCCCGGCTAGGGGTACGGCCGCAGCAGCCAGAAGAGTGGCAGGGCCAGGCGGCGCCGCACCACGTTTTCGACCATAATCCCCGTCCACTGCTTCCCAGCAGCAGCCCCGAGAGCACCAATTAATCCTTCAAGAGCCTCAATGGCCTTTACACTCGTTACAAGTCGTTACAAGTCGCTTTTGAGGACGAATGATAAATCAGTCAACAGCCTTTGAGCATCCTCACCCCAGCGCACAAACACACACCCTCTGGGCCCGAGGGCCCCGGTCGCCTCGCGGAGCTCTCCCCCAGGCCTCTGGCCGCTGTAAGCCCACTGGGCCGCTGTTCCACCGGCGCCAAAATGCAGAGGAAATTTACAAAAGGGGAAGGAAGAGACTCCCACCGGTCACGGGCGGTGAGGGGGGCGGAGGGCTGACTTGGACAGTCGGGGTTGGGCCTGGAGGCCCGGCCGGCCGGCACCGCCAGAGCTCAGGCACATCCTCCCGCGAAGCAGCGCGTCATTCCCTTCCACAGAGGGGAAACTGAGGCTCAGAGGGATGCGGTAACTTGCGTCACGTCACAAAGCTCAGCTGGGATTTGAAACAAAGTCTGTTGGCCTCCCTGGGCCGTTCTCCGCTGATGCCCTGAGCTGCTCTGGACTCATGTTCTCCTGGAAAACTCAGATACTACCTCGTTCCAGAGTCCGGTTGGACAACACATGCACACCTGCGTGCGCATGTGCGTGTGCGCGCGCGCACACACACACACACACACACACACACACACACACACCCCGAGCTCCTGGAGCCCGGGGAGCCCTGCTCAGTCCCTTCCAGAAACACCTACTTGCCCAGTCATCACCCTGCTTCACTGTGCAGCTGTCAGTCCTGTCCATGGTTTTGAACGGAAGCTGTGTAAATATTAGCACAGCTAGTTCATAGTCCGACTTCCTCGAGCAAAAGCCTGAAACCCAGGCTCCATCAGAGCATCTGGCTTCTACCCCAGGGAACCCTTGTAATATTCTGGTCAAGTCGCTGGCTTCTCTGTCTGAACTTGCCCATTTAGAAACGGAGGGTAAGGAGAGGCCTGGGCTTGGAAGGACCCACTAGGGGGAGGGGTCTCCTGAGGTCTCGAGCATGCTGGCTCCCTTCTGGGGCCAGGAGCTGGCCTGATTTGTCCCTCCCGGCCCCCCCACTTCCTTCAGAGCCACATACCAGGCACTCCGGAGCAGTGAGCCACCTGCCCCGAGGCCGAAGGCTGAACTTGGGGCTGTGCCCGAGCGGGGCTTCTCGATCTCCAGGACACCTGGTCTGTGCTCGGAGACCAGGGGAGCAGACGTTCATCACCAAACTGATGACGAAAGGACCAAAGCAGGCTTCCCTGCAGCTAAAGATTCACACCGGATACAAAGAAGGACTTCCAATAAGAAGGGGTGCAGGATCGAGAAATGTACAAAAGTGGTGGCCACGGGCAGCGCAACTGGGTGACGCTGGAGAGGTCCTAGCGGAGGAAGGGTGTATCCCGCAGAGCACGCGGACTGTGTCCCTGCTAGTCCACTGGTGCCAGGGGCACACGCACTGAGCTTCGCTCTCCGCCGTGTCCCCAGCGCCTACACAGGGGAGGCTCACTCCAGGGCCTCGACGAACCACAGAGCCGGGGTGCTGACGAGACTTAACACACTCGACCTCAGCTTGCTGTCCTGCGACCTGGGGGTGCCGGGGCCACAAGGACAGGAACGCAAACGCAATACCGGGTGGGACAGCTGCGTAAGGCGGCGGCACGTGTGGGATATGAATATCGTGACCCCCATTCTCGGACTGATGCCACCAATTCTAGACAGCTGGCCCTGCAGCTGCAGCTCGCCCAGCCCCCGCCCCAGGCAAGTGCCGGGTCCTTGGGAACCACACCCCTACAACCACACACGGAGGCCTCAGGCCCAGAGTCCCAGGCGCCTGGGGTGAGGAGGGGGCAGAGGGGAACACATGCATGTTCTCACTGCAACGGCCAGACACACTGCAAAATTTTTGAACTCAGAGATCAAACGGCTGCAGGTGGGCTTCCCCCCACCAGCCCCCAGGGGGCCCGTTGCAAGCCAAGTGGCTTGTCAACAAACCCTCTCCGCCCCGCAGCCTGGCTCCTCGAGGGGCCTGCAGACAGCTCGGGGGCAGCTGTGCTGGCGGAAAGAGCAAGGAAATCGATATTCTCGGCACACTCTCTCTTTCTCCCTCTCTCCATAAATACAGGCCCTTGGACACTCAGGCAGCCACCCACAGGCCCCGAAGCAGGAAAGGGTGGGCCCTGGGATACTCTTTATTCCCCCGACCCCACAAAGACTCCGTCCCGGAGCACACCAGGCCCCACAGACGCGCACACCCAACCCCCGCGGACCCCGGCGGCTGCGCTCAACACAACAGCGGCCGCCGCGCAGATGGGCCGGCGGCTCCTGGGTGGCCCGGCCGCGGCGCACCTGGGCCACCTGCGCGCGCCCCGCACACACTTGCGCAGGGTCTCCGGGGCAGCGCCCACGTGACCCTGGGGACAGGCTCGGGGTGTCGCATAACCAGGCCCGCGGGGACACCCCTGCGCCTGCAACGATGCCCGCGGGCCACACTCCAACTCACACACTCCAGGGCGCTCGCTCTCACCTGGCACCGGGTACCCACTCCCGTCACTTTCTCCCGCGGAAACTCACCCTCCCCCCCAAGCTCTCATCCCAACAGTCACTGGCCCGGGCGCGCGCACACACACACGCGCGCGCGCTGTCCGGACACCACCTCTTTTTCGCACACGCACAAACTCAGGTCCCAGGTCCGGGTGCACACACACCACTACAGCCTCCCCCCCCCGTCAGCCCTCCTGCCTCCCCCGCACCCCGACAGTCACGCACACACATCCCCGCAGCCTCTCCGGCGCACACACTTACACTTACACCCCGACACACTCTACAAACCAACGCGCAACAACACGGCCCCCCCGCTCTCTCCACAAACCTACAACACACTGCACGCAACTGCGATGGCTGGAAGCGGCTGGCACCCCCGCCCCGCCGGCCCAGGTCCGTGCGGCCCCCTCCCCCGAAGCCCTCCCGCCGGGGGCTCACCCCGCCCCCGCCCGCCCCCCGGGGCTCACCCCCCCGCCCCCCGCCCGCGGCCCTTACCCGCTGTCAAGCTCCAGCTCCAGCAAGGACTGGGTCCGCTCCGAGTTGCAGTGCAGGCACCACATGGCGGCCGCGGCGGGAGCGGACGGCGCCGGGCGCCCGGGACCCAGGCCCCGCCGAGCGCTGCCGCCTCCCGCCGGGGCGGCCGGGTCGCGGGGCGGACGCCCGACCACCCGGAGGCCTGCCCACCCGCCACGCGGCCGCCTCGGGTCACCGGCCCAGTGCCCGCCGGTTCCCGCTACTCCCGGGGCAGCCAAGCCCGCCCTCCACCCCCACCCCGCCGCCGCCGCCGCCGCCGCCGCCGCCGCCCGGCGCAGAGCGAGGCCCGGCCGGAGGAATGCGGCCCGGGAGGGGGCGGGGCCGGGGCCGGGGGCGGGGCCCGCGGCCGGACGGCGCTCCGGGGGGCGGGGCCGCGCGGAGCCTCGTGGGGAAGCGCGGGGGCGGGGCCGCGCCGGGGGCGGGGCCGCGCCGGGGGCGGGGCCGCGCCGGGGGCGGGGCCGCGCCGGGGGCGGGGCGAGCAGAACCGAGCGGGGAGGAGCGCGGGTAAGGGTCCTGGGACGGCAGCGTCCCCCGTCCCTTTTCTGGGGGGCGGTGCGCTCCCTCCAACACGGAGTCCGCGGACACACAGACGGTCCTCCCCACCGTGTAAACAGCAAACACAAAACCCGCACCAGCCCGCTGTGGCCTCCCGTGCCGACGGCGCCAGTCTCTGCCAATCCTTCATCAAGTCTGTAAAGTGGGCCCTTTCTCCCCAGAAGCTGTGGTCCGGGGGCTCCGACGCCGGGTTCCATCCTAAGGCCGGGGGCTTCTAGGTGAGAATCCGACGAACGCAGCTCCCCTTCCCTGAGCCTACCCGACCTCCTGCCCTTCCCTCGCCCAGAGGCACCTTTCCGACCCCCCCCCGCCCCCCCCCGCCGGCTTAACGGTAATCCCAACTCGCTCTGGGGGCTCTTGCCCTACATTTGCTTCTCAAGACACTGTGATGGAGGTGGAGCTATGAGTGGCCCCATTTTCTGGGAAAGGCAACTGAGGCTTACCTTAACTGGGTTAATGCTAAGAGGCTTTCTTTCCTTCGCTTCCTCTTCCAGGCTGCTCAGCCTCCCTACTGCGAGCAGTCATGGCTGTTCTCAGTTTGCATATTTACTTATTACGGGTCCTTGGGCTTCACGAAGGCAAGCACAGCGCCCAGCACCCACACCTGTGGGATGCCTACATGTGGTCACAGACACAGTCAAAACCCCACCTGCCCCACCTGCAGATCCACCTCCTGGAGGCCAGGCAGCTGCCAGCTGTGCGGAGTCCGGAAGCTGCAGGAAGCCACTGATGCAGGGACATCATCTCCTGCCTTTCTGAAGCTTTCATTTGGGGGGGGGGGGTGCAAAAAGCCTGAGGATGAGTGTTATTCCCAGATGGGGACAGTGGGGTGGGGTGGGGACAGTGAAGGACCAGGCCCGGGCGGGCCCAGCGTGCAGCTCACGGAAGGCCACCCCAGGATCCCACCCCAGGATCCAGGTGAGTGCAGCAGGGCCCCAGGCAGCAGGCTGGGTGGGAACCCAGCGCCCCTCGCGGCCCATCTCCACATATCTTCTCTTGGCCTCTGATGTTGTCTTTGCGACACTGAAAATAAAGACTGAGAACGGGAGAAAATATTTGCAAATCACATATCTGATAAGGGTCTAGTATCCATGCCACATAAAGAACTCTTGCAACTGAACAACAAAAAGGCAAATAACCTGACTTAAAACCTGGACGAAGGATCTGAATAGGCATTTCTCCCGAGAAGATATACGAAGGGCCAATAAACACATGAAAAGAGGCTGAGATGATGATGATGACCCGTCATCAGGGAAACGCCAATCCAGACCACAAGAGCTACCACCTCCCACCCACCAAGACGGTCGGAATCAGAAAGATGGATGGAGTCAGGAAGATGGACAAAAGGACCTCCACGCAAGGGTCCCGGAAGGAGAAGACAGACCCGCTGCTCAGAGACTGCTACCACATCCAGCGTCCTGGCCGGGGGAGGAGGGACGAGGAGGGGGTAGGCTGAAAGTCCAGCTGGAGGTGGTAGAAAACTCCCACCCCAGCTTGAACAGCCCTCTAAAAATAGGCTGCGATAAGCAGAGCCGAGAGAACCCCCGGCCCAGCTGCTGGAGCACGCCAGACGCGGGCTCTGACGGCCTCACGGCCTGGGTCCTCCAAGAATTCCAGGCACTAGACCCGCGGCCTAGCTGCCCGCCAGGGTGGTCTTGGCGACACGGCTCCGGCTGGCGCTTAGAACAAGGGTGTAGAATTTCCCCTCTAGTACTTGGAATACCAGAGAATGGAGTCCCTGGAAACCAAATGCCTCTTAATTCTCTTGTTTTGCTTTATCTTCCTACAAAGTGTGCCTCTTGCTTCTGCTCGGTTAACTGCCTCGCAGATTAATAATTTAGGGAATCGTGAGGCGAGCGAAAGAGGTCCGGCGTGGAGAGGCAGAGAAAGCCAGTTTCTCTGCTGAAATGACTAGACTGGGCAGACGTTTACGTGTTCTGTTTGGCCAAATTGCTCAGCCTTCCGAGTCACAGTTTCTCAACTGTAAAGTGTGGCTCGTGGACCACATCGACCCTGGCAAATTCTCTTTGCTGTTTAGTTTAATTTCGCAAGCATTTATTGGTGCTTACTCTGTGCCTGTCGTCTGGGGCCTCAATGGGAGACGCTGATGTGACAAGTGTCCCCCAGTATGATGTTGAGATAATCTGGAGGAAGAGCCTGTAACTGTCCCACAAGAGGCTCCCAAGATGAAGGGACCTCCGAGCTAGGCCTTGAGGAATGAGTCGGAGCCCATATGCAGGGTATAGGATTCGAGAAAGGCATGGAAATGTTTCATTCCACTGCCCGTCCCTGGGCTGTTTCACATGCCATGACCCGACCTCGTCCCGGTCCCCCGGCTCCTGACAGCCTCCTGTCTCCCGCTGCTTCCCCGCTGCCCTTCCATCAGGCACGGATGTAGCGCCTCGTCACCCCGAAGCCAACCTCTGCAGCCCGTCTCTCGGCTAAGACTCTGGGCGTCGGCTTTCACTGTCACTTCTCCCAGAGAGCCACGCCCGAGCAGCCCCTCATCCGAGTCGGACACTCCTCTTCCACACTCTCAGGCGGATTCCGCACCTCTCTCCATCACACCGATGAGCTCAGATGCCACTGCCAGCGCTCCCTCCCGCCTGCTACGGGGCCTGGGACACAGAGGTGCCCGGCAGTTGAATAAATACAGCCTAAGAGTCAAACCCGGCCCACTGCCTGCTTTTTTAAAATAAAGGTGTGTTTTTTTTAAGTTTTTACTTATTTATTTTGGGAGAAAGAGAAAGCGTGTGAGCGGGGGAGGGGAAGAGAGAGAGGCAAAGAGAGAATCCCAAGCAGGCCCCGTGCTGTCAGCCTGGAGCCCGGTGTGGGGTCTGAGTTCACACACCATGAAGTGACCTCAGCTGAAGTCGGACGCTTAGCCGACGGAGCCACCCGGGCACCCCTAAAACGGTTTTCTCGGGACACGGTCACACTCACTCACGTACACATTATCTACTGACGCTTTCGTGCTACAGCAGCAAAGCCGATGGGTGCAACGGAGGCGTGTGGCTTACAGAGCCCACCTCGCCCTCCGCGGAAACGTGTGTCTGCTGCGCAACAGTGACGCCCCCAGGGCCCTGGTGCAGGCCTGCTGTGGCCTGGAAGAGCAGCAGCCGAATGTCAAGGGGGAAGGTGGTGACGGGACTCTAGGGCCCGGCCAGGTGACCTCCAGACAAGATGGCCGCAGGACGGGCCGATTCACCGCTACGAATGGCGCCTACGGAGCTCCTCGCCCGCGCGTATGAAGACTTCGGCCCCAGGATTTTGGCTCAAAGCCCTCCAGGGCACAGATTCGTGGCCTGCGACGCGCCCGTCGGTGGGTCCCACCCTAACAAGACGGCGGGAGCACCAAACACACTTCGGGGAGTGGTGTGTGATGGGACACCGTGATGCAAAGCCCAGAAAGCCGTGATATGATATTTGCAACAAGACACACAGAGCCCAGTGTGCTTGGATAGCATGGCCGTAGTCTGTTTCGTAAAGAAGATCCAAGAAAGGTGCGCCAGTAGTTGCCTCCGGGAAGGGAAACTGGAGTTTCCAGAGATGCCTGGAGATGGGCCTCTGCGCTCGACGCCTGGTGGGGACAGGGGTGGGAAGGAGAAAGGAGCACTTTTCATGCTATGCCCCCGCCCCCCCCTCCGTTTTTAAATTTACATTCAAGTTAGTTAACATATAATGCAGTAATGAGTTCAGGAGTAGAATCGAGGGATTCATCCCCTTATGCCCTTTTATAGTTTTCAAAATTTTAAACAAGTGTTTGTTACCTTAAAAAAGAAAGCCAGTGCAACACGGTGCAACACAGAAATCAGTACGAGTCACGGCCCCCGGGACCGGAGGTCTTGCATCTTGGGGGAGACTCTGAAGCCCCCCAGAGCCCGTCAAAGACCCCAAATTCCCTACTGTACTGAGGCCACCTCTCGGGCCACTCTGGGGTCCTTGTCCTTTGAGCAGGCGGTGTCTTACTGACAGCCACGGAAAGCAATTGTTGGGCAGTGTAGCCGTCCCGCGGTCCCCTCAGTGCCGTGGATCATGAATCTGCTGCTTCCCGGGACATGGAACTCCCCATCTCGCAGCCAGGGTGCTGGGTCTAGGGGGGCGTTCTGTGGGCATCCCTCCCGCACGAGCCCTCATTTTCCAGATAGGGAAACTGAGGCCCCGAGTGATGAAGGGATGTGCCCTGGGGTGTGTGGCCAGGTACCACTAGAGACAAAGACACGGTACCCCACGGCCGGCGTGGCGCAGCAGCACGCGGCCCGGGTGCGAGTGAGGTGTGCGTCCCGCACAGGACAGAGCTCACTCGCCTGAGGGCTGGATGCTGTGCGCGATGCGGAACTGTGTGCGGCGTTACCTCGGAGAAGCCAGTCAGCCCCCAGGGGAGAAAGTCTCCAGATAAATCAAGCTGTTCTTAGGTGCCAAGTTACTTTTGAAATGCCCACCGTTTCCCACTGGTTCTCATTCAGTCCCTGACTCTCTCCAGCCTCATCCCCAGCTACCTAGCTACGATGCAGCTCCTCCCAGAATGCACCAGGCGCTCTTTCGTTCCAGGCGCTTCGTCTACGCGGTTCCCGCTCCCTGCGCTGCCGTCTTCATCTGCTGGGCAGCCTGCTACTCAATCATCGAG